TGGGAAATAGTGGGGATGATGTAGAAAATAGTGGGGATGATGTAGAAAATAGTGGGGATGATGTAGAAAATAGTGGGGATGATGTAGAAAATAGTGGGGATGATGTAGAAAATAGTGGGGATGATGTAGAAAATAGTGGGGGTGATGTAGAAAATAGTGGGGGTGATGTAGTTTTAAGCACAAGGGGGCTATCCCGATAAATGCTGTTTTGAGAATACTGAAAGTGAAGCTTTTGCCCCTTGTTCAGTTTCTTTAAAAGACAAGGAGAGTTTTCTCTATAACTAACCAAACAAATATACACACCAGTGAAACCAAACTTCTCCTATAGGTAGGGCAATGCCCACTTTTGGTGTAGGTCAAAATTTATGGGAACCCCCAAAATCTGAGAGAGCCCGCTTGTCCGTAAAGCCTTAAAAGCGAGCAGGCGTGTATCCGTGTACATGTACTACTATGTAGTACTGACTGGCCAACAATCGGTCACGTAGACTTGAGCGTGAGTCCTCACTAAATAAGAGACCCACGGGCATACACCAACCTGTAAGTTATTTTCGGCCGACATCTGGAGACGCCAGATATTTTGCCCGGGAGGGGAGGGGGGTTCCTTTAATTAAGGGGATCCGCTGCTCTGATCAGTTAAGATTGAAAATGTTTTTTTTTTAAATGTTGGAGTATCTTATACTTAAACTTCTTCTAATGAGGATATTTTCTCTGACTAGACTGACCAGGTTGCAACACTATTTGAGTAGGTCTCAGAAAGTTACAGAATTTATTCAAATTTGCACACATCTTTTATACACACACACACACACATATATATATATATAATATATACATATAGATATATATATATATATATATATATAATATGACTTTACAGAAGCATTTTTGCTGTTTCTAGTTTATGGTCCACATTTGGAGTTTTAGGCTTTTTTCTCTCTCCAAAATCTGACATATTGGAGACGTGAATGTAGCACATAAGAGAAGGACTGTGTAAAGCTCACAAGTTAGCACAGAGAGTAATTCAAATTTGGCTCTGTAAGTGTAGTCATTTTACACCTACAAACAGTTATCACCATGCCAAAATATACATGTAGTAGGCTTCTGTCTTGAAGAGTGTTGATAGTGATGACTCACATAAGATAAAATCGGTTTTAAAAATGCTGAATCAATTTGTTATTTTTTATGTATTGAGATTATTATTATAACAGCTAAAATCTGGATTTTTTTGCTTGGTAACCTTGTTTTGTACTATGTCACAGCCTTTGATGCAGAAAAGCTAGCATTAGACCAACAACTAAATAGCCTAGATGGATGTTGACCGTAGCAGCTGCTACACTCCTGAACATTTCTGTCCCCGTGCTTTTTTTTTTTTTTAAATTATAAAATTATGCAAACTGGGCCCAAAAAAGTTAAGTTATGCGATTCTCGATTCTGTTGATTTCAACAAAGAATGACTAAGGAAAATAATCCGAAGTTACGCAAAAAATGATCAAATTTAGCTAAATTATGCAGGGTGCATAAAACCACGGGGATAGACATTTCTTAAAGCGACTAAAATTTAATTCCAAGTTTCTTTTTAGTATTTTTAGGTTCAAGGCCTAAATATTACATTTTTCATAATTAGCTTACGACACACAGCATCTGTAGATCTATCCATACTGCCAATCTACAAGACTAGGCTGGGAGGAGCGGGGAGGTGGGATGAGCAAGGAGGAAACAAATCGTCAAAAAAGCTTTTGATGTAGACCTAGCTCAGAGAGACATGTGTGAATACTGTCAAGCACCCACCGAGCGATGTGCCGTGCGCTGCGTATAGTCTTAATCGTGTAGCATCAAAGATCATACATAACAAGAGAGTTCGCTCTTCTCTCTCACTCTGAGCCAGTTAAAAGTGTCCTCAAAATTCGATGGCGCCCTCTTTGAAAAAACACAGACTTTGCGAAGTTATCCTACTTGTGTGAAACACATTAAAAAGCGAAACTAACAAACTGTGCTTTCCAATTCTTCTTCTGGAGAAACGAAAGAGCTTCAAAACAAAGACTGCAGCGCCATCTGAAGCAATGCGCTGACTTTTTTGGTATGTTACACATGACAATGACAATCTTTATTCATCTCACAGGGAGAAATTTGTCTTGGTCGTTAACAATGGCAGTAGACGTTTCAAAGGTTAGACCTAAAGGTGCACTCACGCAAACGCACAAGACAGGACATTGGGCCAAGTAAATACATGTCTCACGTGCTGGGACAACCCACTCCGTAAAACATTAATTCTCTCTCTCTGTTTCATTTGTAGCACTGTGTGTTCAGAAACCTCACTGCAGTTGGTACGAAAGAATTTCTATATCTGTTCTTGCTTTTTTGGAAATGTATCGTTTACTGCGGGTCGATAGTTGAAATTCCGATGTCAGTGGGTGGCTATAGTCACTAAGCATTATTTCCGCCTTTTTTAGAACGTTTGTCTTGTGCAGATAGTCAAAGTTACTTAGGTCTCTACCAATTGTTCTTGATGCCTTTCTTTTCAACTTGTTTATTTTTATAATGTGCTGCCTTCCCA